AATCAACTGGAATGTTTTATTTTTGGACATAAATGATAGTACCTTCTGAAAACGGCCCCTCTTATGACGTAGAAACTACATCTCGTCATAGATAAAACTGACACTTATCATTGTTGCCATATCATCCAAACAAAATATCCGAGAGATCGAAATCGATATGAAATGTCTTTTGATATTCAAGTTGTCGATTGTAGGTTGAATCATTGGAATATGAACAATCTCTGCACCATTACAATTTCACAATAATCCAATTTATTTTATAAACTCAGCAACATTGCTTTGTTGACCCGTTTTACATGAAGCTGCAAAAAGTTAATATAGGTTAGAATTGATCTTCTTCTTGTTCTATTATCTTTGTTCAACTTGCCGATTCACCAATCTTGGTGCTTTATCAGAAATCATGTATCATTCATCTCTGTCTGGAATAGTCTTGTTTCAGTATAAGTTCCATCGAATTATGAAATAAAGTTTTTTTGTGATATAAGCCCATTAGGGCAAAATTGCGCATTTTCATGCTGAACATTTATCTGCGAGAAAATTCGATGTGGGTGACGTCATGCCGTTACCTTCATGGCGTTCGAAGTTCCAGCAAAGCGAGAGATCCCTTAGAATGATAAGCGCGCGCTCGTATACCCATTCCTCGAACTGTGACTTTAATGATAATAACAAGATTGAATTTTCATATACAGGGCGTTTGAGTTGATTGAAAATTGAAAAAAATATATACAGAGTGTCCCACGTTTCGCGGTCCCATGTTTTAGCATGGAAGAAGTGTTTGAGTTGAAAGAAATATATACAGGGTGTTTGAGTTGATGAAGATTGAAAAAAAATATATGCAGGGCAGCCCATGGGGGTAAAAGAATACGAAAACGAAGATAAATAATCTATTTATTTAAGTAATCCTTTTCTACAAAAATGACATGCCTCTTGAGAAGATGGCGGTCCATCCCAGTGTGTGGTCCAATCGGGACGATTATAATGAACGAAGCATGGCAGTTTGATTTGTAGGTTAAAGTTGCTGCGATATTCTTGAGGAAGTTTGTGCCATATCATTAATAGGTCACAGGGATCTGCATGTTCAATAATACACTCTACTGGAATATAGTGCAATTCTTGTTCGGTGAATTTTAGCAGAGTGGTAGCAGGAGATTTCAGGAACTCTAAGAGCACAGCTATTTCAGATTTATAACAGAGTGTCTGAATACTGGAGAGTGGATTGCTTTCAATATCAATAGAACGTGGGAGAGTTTTAAAGAGTGAAAATTTCGCTATAATCGACACCAAGCATTGTGTGTCGAGAAATGTGGGAAATTCTTGAATAAAACTAACCTATACCACCATATGAGGAATGTCCATAGAGTGGACGCCACCAATTCGAATAACCTAGCTGATTAGCGGATGGCAGTTAATGGATTCAGAAGTCTTCAGATCACACCTATAGAATCGAAGTCATTTTCAGTTTTTGAATTATTTGAAGAAAACGAAAATTTGTAATTTTCGTTTTCCTTTCTTCAAGCGAAAACCAAAAGACCTAGACGTTGCTGACTAGGACATCCCTAATGCACTCTTTCACAAGGCATCTGAATCTGTCATCGTATTTTCCATGACGTTCCTGATGCAAAAGTTACAACACTCAACTTTGTTTTTTCTCATGTGGGCGCCATATTCGATTTTTGCATTTTTTAAGTCCTTTTTTTCTGATTACAATGATGTTTCACACAATGTGATCACATCTTTCCTGTTGATCAAAATTGGGAAAAACCAATTTTGCAAAGAGTGTTTTGAAAGAAAAGCCAAGTTTTGTTCAACAAACTGAATTTTGACTGTTCAATTGAATATGAGAACAGAACTGTTGAATTCTAAAGCTTATCCACTTAACGCAAGAAGGGTTACCGAGTGTCTGTCAGATATGTTTCCTGACAAGGTAATTTCCAACAACGGAGACATACGTTGGCCAGCGCGGTCACCTGATTTCTCTCTGCTGGATTATTATTTATTGGGAACTGCAAGATTTGATTTTCAAAACTGTACTGATCGATATTGATGAGCTGAGAAGATCCATAATCACCAGTTTCAGGATTAAGATAAAAATACGGGACATCTCGCAAGTAATTTAGAATCGGAAGAAACGCGTAGAATCGTAATTCAGCATCTTATAACTGTGTTTTGTTTTGTGAAGAATAAACTTCTAGGTTAATACATCATTCCTGATTCAAAAACATAGTAGAATGTGACGAAAATGTGAACGTTCCAGATCCAAATTCAAATAAACTGTCGAAATTCAGCTTGTTAAACAAAACTGTTGGCGATCTTTCCAAAACACTCTTCACAAAAATGGTTTTCCCAATTTTGATCAACAGGAAAGAAAACGTTGTGTGTTGTAACTTTGGCATCAAGAAACTCATGAAGAATACAATGAAAGATCAAATTCCTTTTGAAAATTTGCCGTACTCAACGTCAAGGCCTTTTGGTTTCTGGTTGAAAAAATAAAATCGAAAATTATAAATTTTTTTCTCCCAATAATTCAAAAACTAAAGATCACACATCAAATTTTCTCGCAGATAAATGTTCAGCATGAATATGCGCAACTTTGCCCTAACTCAAGCGACTTCGTATCTCTTATTATAACCGAGATCTCCATGGTGGAGCTCGAAAAACGGACACCCTGTGTAATGAAAATGTCTCTTCTCTTTCTAATAAATGTCATTTTTCGTACTATTTTGATCAATGTGTTGTGTTTTGTGAAGTGTCTTTGCTTATTCTCAATATTATCATCCTGTTCAGACAAAAACTATTCTGAACACTATTTGGTGAGGAGATTGAACATATATGTTAATCCAGATAATTTCTCTTGTTCTTAATAAGGTGAAGATTCATTTTATTGATTGTCTGGGAGATTGAAATCCCTACTCATATTTATAATGATGAATAGTGATCATAAAAAAAACAACAACAACCAAGACTGAGAAATGACTAACGAAAATTGCTAAAGAAGGACAGTAAGAGAAAATTATACTGCTTACAAAATCACCGCTGAGTATGCTCATTTCATTTTCTACATCAAATTGTAATGTGATAATGAAGATCATTATCACACATAGACCAAGATTATAATATTATACAGAGTGATAATCAACTAGGTGGCCAAACTTCAGGACAAAAATGTCACATGAACTTGGAAGTAAATGCATTGTTTCCCAGATATAGGGTGTCAAAGTAAAAGAAAATTATTTGTTTATAAATTCAAGTACTTATAGCTCAACTATTAAATGCTCACTATAGATATTCACTCAATCCCTATAATGTTTGAGGAACATTGTGTGTACCTACAGAGAATAGGGAAAGGAGGTAGGTATTGAAATTTTTTCAACTTTTGGTGATTATAAGTTCTTCGAAATACAGAAAAAAAAAATTGACACCCTATATATTTAAAACTATTCAAGTAATTGTTAGCTTTGGAATATGTCCTGGTAATAGTGTTCTCCCGTTCATATATTTATTGAAGGTAATCATATATCACATACCCATGAATACTTATTGGAATATATTTTCATTTGTTATTTGCAAATATTTTCCTGAACTATGTATTTGAAAATATGTGAAGTACTCAAATCTTCAACAGTAGGTATTTAAATATTTCAAGGATATTAGAAATTAGTACTTCAGACATATTTAGAATACAATGAAATATTCAAAAACTTACTGTGAGCTATTAAAATACTATTAATATTGAATAGTATACTTGATGAATATTTTTTTTTGCAGAGTATTTACTAGCTCTAATTGACCCTATAAGTTTCATGGAAGAGTACTTTCCTATTATTTATCTGTAATCAGGAAGAAAGATATTGATGAAGGCAGCACTCCGAAAAAAAAATGTTGCAAATGGTGGAAACATTTTTTAAAATTGAAAAAATATACCTGACCATTGTATTGATTCACTCAATTCCTTAAGAAAATACTGGATATTAGAGTTAAATCCAGATTGGGTAAAACTGCACTTATCATGTAATGGTTTTTTTTTTTTCAAAAAATGTTTTGGTACTTGTGTATTTTTGCCTGAAGAACAGGAATTTCACAATGAAAATGTGAACAAACGGAACAAACCACTATCTATTGAAACATTTTACAAAAAAATTAGAAATTTCACCATGTTTTGTGACCCATCTTGGATATCCATTTACAACTATTTGGCCTTTTTTTGCCATCACTGAACAATTTATATACTCACGTTGTACTTCAATAACACATTTTAGTTCCTAAAATCAACAAGAAGTATGGTTTATTTGGATTTTTTAAATATTTTTGTGGGATAACCAATCACACCAGCTGATGAACATTCATTTATCAAATCTAAATACAAATCACAGAACTAAAAATACAAATACAAGATGTCAAATAAGAATAAAATGTCAAAAAAATTTGCAAGAAACTCCAGAAACCAAACTTTTGTTCACCTCACTGAATATGAAAAAAATCCAAATAAACCATACTTCTTGTTGATTTTAGGAAATAAAATGTGTTAGTGAAGTACAACATGAGTATATAAATTGCCCAGTGATGGAAAAAGAAAGACAAGTAGTTGTAAATTAATATCCTAGATAAGTTGCAGAAGAAGGTGAAATTTCACACTTTTTCATAAAATATCTTGATAAATAGCAGTTTGTTCACATTCTCATTGTGAAGGTTTTACCCCAGATTGACCTATCTAGTGTGTTAAGAACTGTATTATTCAGCTAACATGATACTATGGCCAATTAATAAATTACCTCCCTGTACAATAATGTAACCTAAGGAATACCAAATATGTAAGTACCACACAATATAACATCAACCCCATCCCCATATATTATACTTTTGATCTCATTCCCATTCCACAAATGTTTAAAAGGTTGAAAAAAATAATGTACAATGGGTATTATTCACCAAATATCAGCTGTGATATAGCTAGTGAATGTGGCACATAGGAATTTCTATAACTCAACATTTCCTTCACTAACCTCTTGTAACAGATCCTGAGCAGCAATTGCTTTGAGAACATTTTTCTTGCTGGTTTCTTGCACCTCACCTCCCAAAAGAAGTTCATCCAGGATGAAATAGGCTTTCTCAAAGTTGAAAATTATGTCCAACTCACACACCTACAAGAATCAAGAATGGAAATGTTCTCATGAAAAAATAGACAAGAGTTCACTTACACTTCCAAAATATTTGTCCAACAGTTCCACATACCGATGAATGATCTCCAGAGTGAGCAGTTCATTATCACATTGTTCAATTGCACAACAGAAGTATAGACTTGCATATCTGGAAAAACATTGGAAAAGAGTGAATGAATATTGGGTCCTGGAATCATGGATTACCTTTTGTAGACTATTTTCAATTCCTTCCATTCCAAGAAGCTACACATTTTGGGTTTCCTGGCCAGGATGGTTGTGATCAATTCTCTCGTTATTTTCTTCTTTACTTTGTCTGGATGGGCCACGTACCATTTTTGCAGCCTCAGCTTGCCTTGTCTGCTAAATAATAACATGAACTGCATCTGAAAAAATTCAAATTACGTCGAATGTTTCACTAATTATTCCAATATCTAATTGGCTCACAACGAACGGTTTCTGCAAACAATTAAACCAATATGATGGAATGTGTAATTTCTTCCAAAATGTTAAAGAAATTCACGAAAAATCATCAACCTCTCATATGCGCCATTTTTATAAGGAAGTGTATATACTGCCGACCAGTCGGCATTCTAACAAGAGTCTCGAGATCATACCCGTGTGATCACCGAACACGCCCGATCGTTACCTAAAAGCGGTGGGGCGACCGAGTTCCGAGATGTAAGCAGGCACAAGAGTCTCGAGATCATACCCGTGTGTTCACCGAACACGCTCGATCGTTACCTAAGCGGTGGGGAGACCGAGACGCGAGACGTAAGCAGAAGCAGGCAGTCATGATACAATGAGTGGGCAGGCAGCTTCTCTCATGCTGTCTTTGTTTTTGTAGTACGGGGTGGGCCACCAACAGATTTCTTGATCACATTTCAACATTTTTTTTTTCGAATAAATAAGAAACATTTGATAGGCATCAAGTGATCTACTGCGACCTATCAGATAATGAAAACGATGATTTGATTTGCAATAATTCGCTATGTCACGACGAGTCCTACATGTAAATAGCGAACCACTCATCGAAAATCATGAAACTATATACATATTATATGCTTACGTTTTGTTGGCGAGGACGCTCGTTTTTATTCAAATTATTTTCGATAATGTTCATCTGCTTCACTAGAAATTATTATTAGTATTTATGTAGTACTTAGTAGTATAGTTAGTAGGAGCTTTGTTATTCAAAATGGAACACCTTATATTTTATTACATTTTTCGATTCTTCCTATTGAGCTATGATTTCGTTGATCAAGCTCAAGGTATACCTATACGTAGAATGTGAAAAATCGAGATTTTTTTTGTATCGAAACTATACAATACCTATATTGATTTGTCAAAATGGCTCACATGTGTCCCTATCCTAACATTCTATTTACTATCTACTGATGCCATTTAATTGAAGCAAATCAGGGTGGATCAGATTTCAGAATTATATAAAAGAAGTACTAGAGTATGCCTACTAAAAAAATATATATATTTGAAATAGACAAAACAAATATGTCACATAAAAAAACACACTCCAATATTCAACATAAAATAAAATTCAATCCCACTGGATGTATTTAAAAATATAAACAGTGTGCATGTCACTTCTATAATGGAATATCAACCCGCATATCTAACGTAACTGTTCAATTTTAAGGAGCGATAGATATATATACCAAATATGACCAAAGTGAGGTAATCTTCAGTGAAAAACACTGCTCTGGTCATGGACCCACCAACATTTCCGGAAAATGATATTAGGAGGTAAGATAGGTTGAAAATCACTTCGGATTCGAAATCAGGACGTAACCCTGTACCTCGAAAACGAAGCAAGTTTAGGACACATGTTTATATGACCTTAATTCATCATATTATATCACAAGGAATCATCCCTTGAATTATTTCGGTGTTATTTAGATACACCCTATATAGAACACTTTTCATCCCAATATCGTTATTCAACATTTTTCCCATAGCGAAGTTCAGCAAATACCGATGGCGAGAACACTATGTTTATTGATTTGATGTCTACCTATAATATAATATGTAAAACAAGAAGGCAAAACTACTAGTGTTCCGTTTCGAAGAACATTAAATTGACAAATTTGACTCCAAAATAATTCAGGCACGCGCCAATATTCATAACGTAGTTACTGCTGCCCGTTTACGTTTCCCCACCGCTTAGGGAACGATCGGGCGTGTTCGGTGAACACACGGGTATGATATCGAGACTCTAGTGTTACTGCTGCCCGTTTACGTTTGCCCACCGCTTAGGGAACGATCGGGCGTGTTCGGTGAACACACGGGTATGATCTCGAGACTCTTGTTAAGCAGGCAGTCATGATACATTGAGTGGGCAGGCAGCTTCTCTCATGCTGTCTCTGTTTTTGTAGTGTAGTACCAGTGTAGTACGGGGTGGGCCACCAACAGTTTTCTTGATCACATTTCAACGTTTTTTTTTTCGAATAAATAAGAAACATTTGATAGGCATCAAGTGATCTACTGCGACCTATCAGATAATGAGAGCGATGATTTGATTTGCAATAATTCGCTATGTCACGACGAGTCCTATACATGTAAATAGCGAACCACTCATCGAAAATCATGAAACTATATGTACATATTATATGCTTATGTTTTGTTGGCGAGGACGCTCGTTTTATTCAAATTATTTTCGATAATGTTCATCTGCTTCACTAGAAATTATTATTAGTAGTTAGTAGTAGTAGTATATAGTATAGTAGCAGCTTATTTGTTATTCAAAATGGAATACCTTATATTTCATTACATTTTTCGATTCTTCTAATTGAGCTATGATTTCGTTGATCAAGCTCAAGGTATACCTATACGTAGAATGTGAAGAATCGAGATTTTTTTGTATCGAAACTATACAATACCTATATTGATTTGTCAAAATGGCTTACATGTGTCCCTATCCTAATATTCTATTTACTATCTACTGATGCCATTTGATTAAAACAAATACAGGGTGGATCATATTTCAGAATTATATAAAAGAAGTACTAGTATGCCTACTACCCATACAACACATGGACATCCGATGGATGTCCATAGGATATCCATTCAGGATATTTTGGATATCCAATGGACATCCAAATAACGTCCAATGGATATCCCATGGACGTCCAATGGATGTCCTGAGGCCACCAACTTGTACGTCCATAGGATATCCTTCACGGACGTCCATAAAATATCCTTCAATGACGTCCATAGAACATCGTTCAAGAACGTCCATACGATATCCTTCATGGACGTCCATAAGATATCCCTTATGTTTTCATGGGTGTTCATATAGGATATCCTATGGACATCCAGGTTGGCGGACTAGGATATCCATTGGTCGTCCATAGGATATCCTTTGGATACTATTTAGATGTCCATTTCCATAATCCCTGAATTAATTTCCAGATGACATTCGGATGTCCATGATTTGATTTCATGGTTTGAAATATTATGATAATGGTTCACTGGGTATGATAATGAACAATAATTATAATAATAATATTTAATAAAGAATGAAATTAAACATTACCTGCAATATATTGATCACAAAAAAAATTAAATCCATTATTGTGGGAAGGGACAAATAACTTAATATAATGTATACAGTGCGTCCATAGAAGTATAACGCATAAATTCTATATCTCTGTGATACAATGTTTGCGAAAAAGCCTCAGACAGGATGATACGTATTTGAGAAAAATCTGAGTTGACAGTTTTTTCGAATGAAAACACCTGTATTTTATTGCATTTCATGATTCTCCCTGAAGAGCTCATTTGATCGATGTTTCACGCACTTGGGGTCTTGTAGGTGAAAAATCGAGATTTCTCAACTTATTCAGGAATTTTTTGTGTCGAAACTATTCATTATTGCTCAAAACGGATTTCATATACCTATACATATATCTTAACTTTTCATTTACTATCAATTGATATTCAATTTAAACAGATACAGGGTTGTGCAGAATTCTGAATTACCCTGTATTTGTTTCAATTAAATGTCAGTAGATAGTAAATCAAGAGTTGAGATAGGGACATAAAAGCCGTTTTGACCAATAACGAATAGTTTCGACACAAAACATTCCTGAAGTTCACCTACAATATCTCTGTAATCATTTACGTTACCCATATAGTTGTTATTAAATATATGGGACCCACATGGACATCCAAAATATGTTTGGTGAGTCCGACACTGCCGACTTTGTCGACATCTCTATGTTATTCTGGGCGTTATTGTTCAACGACGTGGTTCAATGCTCCAATACAGGATATCCCATGGATATCCATTGGATATCCAAGAAGACGTTGAAAAATTCCATATTCGATATATTATATATTTCCTAGTAATATAACTATGTACACACATAGATTTGAATTTTCATCAATTTAATTCATATTCACAATTTATTACATTGATTATATCCGCGCGGGTGAATTTTGGATATCCTATGGATATCCAAAAAGGTCCAAGGATATCCCGACATGAATTGGGCATGATTTGGACGTCCATAGGATATCCCGTGTTGTATGGGTAAAAAAATATATATATTTGAAATAAACAAAACAAATATATCATATAAAAAAACACACTCTAAAATATTCAACACAAAATAAAATTCAATCCCACTGGATGTATTTAAAAATAAAAACAGTGTGCATGTCACTTCCAATGGAATCAACCCGTATATCTAACGTAACTGTTAACTGTTCAATTTTCAGGAGCGATAGATGTAGTTATATATCAACTATGACCAAAGTGAGGTAATCTTCAGTGAAATACACTGTTCGGCTCATGGACCCACCAACATTAATTTCCGGAAAATGATATTAGGAGGCAAGATAGGTTGAAAATCGCTTCGGATTCGAAATCAGGGCGTCCAATTCACTGACTATTCATATTGTTCCTGAGAAATGTTCAGTTCTGAAAAATCAAATTTTGTTTCAATTTACATGAAAGCACCCCCGTATCTTACGTAAGTATTTTATTCACAGCAGCAAGAAAGATACAATCAATGAGCAGTGTATATATCACTGAAGATGTCCCCACTTTCAGAATCCTAATAACTCAACAATTACGTAAAATACAGGAGTGTTTCCATTAGATGGACAAATTTGACTCCAAAATAATTCTGACACGCGCCAATATTTATAACGAGAGAAGCTGCCTGTTTACGTATCCCCAGTCCCCACCGCTTAGGTAACGATCGGGCGTGTTCGGTGAACACACGGGTATGATCTCGAGACTCTAGTAGGTAACAATCGGGCGTGTTCGGTGAACACACGGGTATGATCTCGAGACTCTTGTCTTTTTGTTAGGCTGCCAATGCTGCCGACTGTTCGGCAGACTAAATTACTCTTTGATTAGGAT